GTTCTTATTCTAGATACAAAATTGCCTGAAATAGAAAATACTCTCTCCCTGGCTACTGAAATTGGTTTTATCGTTTTCAGGGCATCAAATAATAAATCTAAATTCTTTGTTATTTTATTGGTTGCCTCAAATACTGAAAACTCGGCCTTCAGTGTCTTTGGATTTGATATTATTTCTTCAGGTTCCTCAAGAAACCTATGAATTGATTTTTCCATGGCTTCTTTTAGAGCATTGCCCTGATTAATAGTTTCTCCTTCTCCGATATATTCGTCATCGGAATCTGTTTCCATACAAGAATTTGGATATAGTCTAGACAATATTTTTCCACATAACTTAATAATATCAAGTTTCGAAGCTAGTGGAAATACACTAGATTTCTTTGTTGAAATATTTTGTGGATTTTGCAAATATAGCAAAAGGGTTACCAATCCAACTTTTCTTCTTTCTTGAATTCGTACTTCTTAAGCATTTAATAATTTGGAACTAATTTCAGTCTTTAAATTTTTTAGTTCATTTAACAGAAATTTTTACATATTAATTCTAGTATCTAAAACCGGTTTTTTAAATTTTAAAAACCGGTTTTAGAATTTTATAAATCTATCCAAAAAACCGGTTTTTAAAAACTGACAAACCCTAATGGTAATCATCTGTGGGAGATAACTCATAATTTATTATATTGACCACAGTATGAATCTCATTTCCAATCAAAACTCACATATGAAGATAAGACCCAAATTTCCAATTTATTAACTATTATTCTGTAATACTATTATTATTATTATTTAGTGTTCTGTCTGACGACAGGTCCATTGTTCTGCCCAAAAAGATTTCGCCAGTTTTTCCTATTCGCAGCTTCTCATTTTAACTCCTGATCTGTAATACATAGAATGTAAAATTTGGCTGAGCAGAAATTGATAAATATGTCTAAAAACTGGTCTTAAAGTTACAGTAAAACTCACTTATAATGAGTGGGACTGATTGCTTTTGCTCATTATAACCTTTATTCCCTATACAAGGGGAATTTAAAAAAGCACAATCACAAATCACGTATCAAATGATTATATGATATTCAGGACATTTAATAAAAGCTATTTCATTATATACTTTATTTTAAATGTTTATTTAGAAAATACTAATAAAATGACAAAATTAAAATATAAATAATTTTAATAAATAGATGTGGACAAGTACAAAGTATTATTTATTTGAGACATAATGTAGGATGGAAACTTGTTTCACTGATTTTACTTCGACGCCACCAAGACTTTTTTTATTACAATAAAGGCATTAAATGCATTGTCAGCCGTTTTATTTCTGTATTATTCTATTTCTATTATGTTGTCATCTGTAGGTACTCCAATTGTTGCTAAATTATCATCAGTGTTAATAAAATTTTCAATACTGGGAACATGTTCAAAGCAATCCATTATTGCAACTGCAGTCCTTATGTTCTGATTGCAATGCAAACTTTTCTGACCAAATCGTCAAACTGGGACTGTTGACTGAGAAACTAGCATTTTTCTGCATGTTACACCATTCTAATAATGCTTTGTCACTGTCATGAAACTTACATTTTTTAATATTTTTGTTTGTAGTGAGATTCTTTCCAAGTACAGATAAAATGTGCTTTGTTTTGCAACAAAACCATAACTGTAGACAATGATAAGTTGAACTGTTTACACACAGATACATTTTTTCACCACATTCTAATTTACAATAATTTCAACTTTTTCATACACAAACACTTTCCTCTTGTGAAGACATGTTGGTTATTAAAGTGTAAAATCTTTACTGATTATGGGTTACAAGCAGCTGCAGGTTAGCCACAACAAAACTCAACCCTAAAGCTACAGGTGTAGGTAAAAACTGACCTGCTCTGTACCATTAAGCATGCAAACAAATGAAAAGGTTTCATAACACAAAGAGCTAAAAAAATTTATCCGGATAAATCAATTTTACTCTTTACATCTATGAAGCATTGTGTATGAGAAATTTTGTACATAAATTAAGATAAATTAAATGTGAAATTGTCATTTGCTCACTATAGCCATGAACTCATCATATCCTTGTTCGTTACAACTGAGTTTTACTGTATGTTGCTTGCCTATGTCTAAACTTCTCTGAAATGCTTATAATATGCAGAATGACAGAGCTCAGGCATGTCTCATCAACGGAGGAACTACTCACAGAATTGCGATTAAATTAAAATAGCGATAATTTAAAAATCTCAAAACAAATGTTGAATGCTCAATGATATTTTTTTATTTTTTGCGTATTTAATTCTTTCAGTATCTCAGACTATCAAATGAGAGGAAGATAGCGATTAATGAATTGGAAATAATGTAGAAGCAGTCATCACCTAATCTGAAGTATTATCCTGGCATCTGCCTGGAGAGACTGAGGAGGACCATGATAAACGTCTGTTAGGAAGGACAGTGTTCAGACAGATTTGAACCTGGGGCCTCCCGAATATGAAACGGGAGTGCTAACAATGACCATGACCTTCAGTTGCTAGATGAAGAGAAACTAAATAAAATGTAAGGCTCGAACACACTCCTTGAAATTACAGAATACTGGGGTTTCAGCATAAAACCATTGAAACAAACCATTAAAGACAGAAGTAATTAATGAACTGCAATCATGTGATCATGCTAGGAGAAAACATTTCTTAAATGTGTACTTATGTTGGAGAAATCAACCTTCACACAATTTTTTTCTGGAGGGAGGCTTGCTCTGTTATGCGGAGGTAAATTTAAAAACAACAGATATTGGAGCTCACAATATCTGAGACTAATACATGATCTTCCACTACATGCCTCCAAGAAACCTCTGCAGTTGCTTGTCAGTAATGTCATCCATTCACGGAAACTTCAAGAGAAGTGAGTGTTTGGGGACAAATTCTTAGTATTTGCATGTCTCAGCCAAGTTCATCCAAGAATACTGAGACAGGAGTAGACAGAAAATCACTTGTCTGTGGTGTATCATCACAGATGATGAAACATGGGCCTACAGTTAACAATTCTAAAGCTTACACCAATTATCATAATATAGATTCTCTCAGAAAAGCAAACCTTGTATACAGCAAAACCAGAAACCATGCAATGTACACAGCACAAAACCAAAGTGATGCTGCTTGTTTTCTTCAATTGTATGAAATTATGATCAGACCATTAATCACCTTTTCTACTAACAAGTGTTGACACAACTCCTTAATGCAGGGCATTGTATATGACCACAAAAGTGGGAAACTGGAAGGTGTAAAATTCATCATAACAATGAAAATGCCCACACAAGAACACCACCTGTGCAGCAACTAGTAGCTAAACACAGTATTCCACAACAAGATATGCTGCCCTGTAAATCTTCTCTGCTTATAAAACCATTGAAAGTTTCAACATATGTTGTGAAAGAAACCCAACATAATGCAACGGAATAGCTGCTGATGATTCCAGAAACTCAGTTTGACACCTACTTCAAGCACTGTCGGGGAATGGTGAAATAAATATATTTAAACTTTTTGGACATATCTCAGTTATCTTTCACAAAACAAAATGTTTTGGAAACTGGATCTGTTTCCATAATCATATGTGCATAATAATGGAAAACATAATCATCTGAATCACTGCACAAGTGATTTAAGAGATGATGATTAATACCCCAAAGTACAACACTTGCAATAAAAAATGTGTGCATGCTGAAGAACAAATTTATGGCAAGTTGTGCTTCTAATTAAAATTTTATAAATTGTAAAAATTATTAAATTCAGTTTTAAATTACTTTAGTTTGCATGATACAAATGCCATGGTTTATCATTCTTGTACTAAAAATTGAAAAATTTCCCCAGCATCTCTGCAGTGGATAGCATTCCAGCTATTCAGTATTTTAAAGAGCTACTTTATCTATGAAGAACTTATATGACACACCAATATGCTAAATCAATAACAATACTGAATACAAATTCATAATATATTGTATTTATTTATTAGTATAAACTGACATCCTTAGTATACAAGGATGAAATGTTCATTCACAATATTTCTCAGGAAAAAGTAATTTAATTCATACCTCTCATATCTCTTTTGTTGATGTTTCTCTTTGTTTCAAGTAATTTACAATTTGAAGTGGCAGACATTTCAGGATGCATCTGAAATGTAAACACTACATCTTAGACACATCATAAATACAGATTTTCCAGTTTCTCTAAGATGATGCAAACACTATGGTTTTCCGACCTCCATGTCATATGTACGTATGTAACCCAACCACATTCACCACACATCCTGAATCATGTCCAAGACTGCAAACACAAAATTTTGCAACCAAATCTGATAAAGTGATAATCAGAAGATGGAGGCAGCTAAAACTTAAATAGTGAAAGACATACTGAAACACATTTGACAAATCTTCTTGGGAAATCAGCCACATCTATTTGGAACTGATGTGGCAGATCTCTTGAGAAGATTTTGTCGCATTCAACTGTCATGAAAGCTTAAAGTCTTATTCACACTAGTTTGCTCCTGTTTCAACACATTTTTACTAGTGCATAACAACTATACTGTCTAATTCATGGGTCGTGCAATAACAATGTCCAGATTATTGGAGCAACTGCAAGAAGGGTTGACAGAACACAGTTCAATTTCAGGTGCTACCAAGGAATTTGTCTTGAACTGACAAAACAAAATGCACACAATCCTAGTTCCAAATATGCTGTCATAGGAATCAGTATAAAAGCTTCCCCTTCCTGAACCAAATAAAAAATCTAACCCTATTAAAGTATCACTCTTTCTCCACCACCAATATTGGGATTAAAGTGACAGTGTCATAAACTGAATTGTTTTATGTTTGGGTGTATTTTTATTAGTATACCAAGTTCAAATATTTGGGAACAACAATAATAAATCAAAATGATACTCATGAGGAAATTAGGATGAGACTACTTATCAGTTCAAAATATTTTGTCTTCCTGTCTGACTTCTAAGAACCTGAAAATCAAAGTATATAAACCAATAATTTTGCCTGTTGTTTTGTATGGATGCGAAACATGGTCTCACTCTGAGGAAGGAACACAGATTTCAGGTATCTGAGAATAGGGTGTTGAGGATATTTGGGCCTAGGAGAGAAGAGTATGGAGAAAACTGCATAATGATGAGCTTAAAACTTTATACTCCTCCTCCAATATTGTCAGGGTGATTAAGTCGAGAAGAATGGGATGGGCTGGGCATGTAGCGCGCATGGATGGGGCAAGAGGTGTGCACCAGGTATTGGTCGGGAAGCCTGAGGGGAAGAGACCGCTGGGGAGACCTAGACGTAGATGGGAGGATAATGTCAGGCGGGATCTATGGGAGATAGGAGTTGATGGAGACTGGATTTTGTTAGGCCAGGACAGGGTCTGGTGGAGGGCTTTGGTTAAGTCGGTAATGAAACATCGGGTTCGGTAAGCCATCTAGCCAGTTAGTTATGTATTAAAGTGATATACGTGTTGTGCAAAGTAGTGTAGTTAAAGATTTTGAATGTAAAAGAAAAGCAAAATTGTTCAGTATGTATCTGTACTTAAAACCTTTTGTAATATCACCATCCTATACAGTATTCATTTTTAATACCTACATTTTTATAAAAAAATCATCACACCCACATACTGTCCAATTAACTTCATTTCTTCCTTAATAATTTCATCAGATGCTGTTCCATTTTTCACATTCACTAGCCCTGTTCAAATAACTACCACATCCACAGGGTCTTCTTCAATTGTTGCACACTTTCACATTTAATTCTCCCATTTCATTTTGCTCCCCCTCCCCTTTTGAAAATATCACCAACACAGTACTGAGCAACGAGATTACATTATAAAATGGATAAATTTCTGGCAATATTCCACTGGTTTGCACCATAATATTGTTCTGTGTATTCACACACACAAATGAAACTGTCATTATATGCACCTGTAACAGTTTGTACTTACCTTATCTACTCTGTGAAAAGCCTGATAATTGTATCCAACTGAAATGTACTTACGCACTGTATCTTAGTCAAAGAAAATGTGCAGAAAATACTTTCATTACGAAGGAGTCCATTAGCTCTGCTAAACAACAAAAGAGCAGTGGTTCTGCAACCATTTTTCCAGAACTTGGAATATTACCTGTTACTGTATGAAGCTTATTCTTGACAATGTTTCCATTTTCAAATAAATCCCAGTAACAGGTTCATTTACTGTAACTGCCTAGATTTGGAATACCAACATTTACACCACTGACCCCAAGTAACAAACAAATTCCCTCCCTGAGGTGCTAGAGGTGATTTCTTTCTTGCCTGAGTAGGCACATCGACCAGACTGTACAGTGCAACAACCCAGAAGACGGAAATCTAGGCTTTATTTGTTGGTGTGTAGTACTTTAAAATCCAAATATTTGAGGAAGCTGTCTGTATGGCCATGGCATGGCACTGTATTGGACTTGATTATAATGCATGAAATCTACACTAAACTTCTTAAGCAGGAAAACATCTGAAAAGAGTAGGCTTCAAAATGTCTTTTTTTTCAGAATTAATTAGGGTATATCCCTTCCAACAACATTCTGCAAAAACAATACACTTAAAACTAGTGTTTTACCTTTTCAGCTTTTTCTTCAGATGACAAAAAGGGTTTCTGAATAAGTTCCACCTGTAACAGATAAAGTATTAAATAAAAATGACATTTATGAATAAACAAACAGATCTACCTACACGCACACCTTCCTATCTATCCACCTACATAACCAACAAGTGCTAGGTAGCAAGACCCAAAGGTTCAATATCACTATATGATTCATCATAGAGTTCATTCACTTCCCAATCTCAAAACCTCTTAATCAACCACAGATTCATGTCTCCTTTTGCCTTCAATTTGGACCAAAATTGTATATGCATACCGCTTCTGCCCGATCCTAACATTTGCCCATCCTGTTGTTCTCACAACACCAGGTGGTTTGTACAAATGACTAATTTCCTTGTTATGTAACATCACAAACTGCACACTTACATAGGTGTCTCCCTGTTAACTATTCAACCGAAAACTGTTATCTATGTAACCACCATTCGTTTTCCAACGCTTGTTATATAGGTAAGGGACCACATTTTACACTCACAAAACAAATGGCAAAATTACTATCTGCATTTTAAAATACAGGCAGAATGGCAACACTTCCCAAAACAAGTAACAATAATTAACAAAATTTATTCTTCTCCTAATTTAATTATAAATCCCATTTCTATTTGTTAATGTTATGCTCAGGTACATTCTGAAGCATTCTTGAATTATTTATTAGATTTACCTACTTATAACTGTTGCAAATTCTGGATTTATGCTTCATTTCATGTATATTTACTTTTATCATGCATAATAAATTCAAGAAACAATTTATAAAATAATTCAAATACAATGGAAGAAAGTAACACAGCATGAACGAGTTCATGAATTACACAGTATATGACAGGAAATATGTTTTACAACATTTTCGACTTATTTGTTTAACAAGGGATCACATGATGGAGAGCTTCCACTCAAATTTCATTTCAACCTGTATACTATTAAACGACTGATATTTACATTGACAAATATTCCATGTTTGTTTCTTCGCAATTTCTTTAGATTTCTCCCCATGAAAGTTCAAATTTTCCTTGTGGCATTGAAGCCCCCACTGACCCATGCAGTCTAGCAACGAATCAATAAACTGTAGTGCAATGCTATGACTAACATGGTCACTGTTTACTCTTCCTTCAGTCTTGCCCTCCCCACATTATTCTGTGGCAGCACTAATTGTCTGCGTAAGTAACATAATGAATTCTATGTTCTTCTGCACTACTTTTCAGCCAATAATCAAAGGTTTTCAACACAAACATTTTCAAAATCTTCCAAATCAGTAATATCAGACTTGTTCACGTCTTTGCTGTAGAAACGACAGAAATCATCTTCCTCTAGATCTGGAAGAAATTTCCTCCACAATCAAATAAGCTTTATGTTATCACTGAAGGCCACACCTTGGACACACAAAACACAGCTTTTTCCAAGAATGTGATCATGTCATCTTCAATGGCATGAGTTCTGAGAAGACCGCCATGGTAGCACTGCTTTATTAAAGCAATCACAGCTTCTTCCATGGGTCATATTATGGCTATAACATTGTAAGAAAAACTTTTGAGATGATCGTTCAAATCCATGAGCTAACAGCAACAATTCTTTATGTGGCAACATTTTCCCTCTCAAAATATTGAACTTCTAGAAAAATTCTTATAGTATTAATTTTCAAAAACATCTCTTATTTATCCATAATCTTTTCTGACTAGGCTTGTGGTTTCAAGATGTATTTCCACAACACACAACTGTAAGATGTTTCTCGGACGACTTATGCCCAGGTAGACTTATCGAAAACAAAAGCAAAGGCTCTTGTAAGAAGTCTTCCCAATATAATCCACTCACTTGCACTGTAAACTTGGTCTGACTTGTGGCTTTCTTCTGGGCACAATTTCCTCTTCTATATAAATGATATAAACTGCATTACGGTATTCCTCCGAACTACAATTTCTCAAACACCTTGTCATAGCTTAAATATCACCAGCCACTCTGGCAATGCTTCTGACCAACTTCACAGTGTTTCTTGAAAGAACTTTGTTTTATGTTGCATATGTTAGACCAGAATCTCCTTTTGCTCATTTCTGATTGAACAATTTCAGAAATGAAACAGACTTCTCAAACAATTACATTCAAAAGCTCCAGCACCACTATTGTGGTTCCTTGTAAATTTAATCACCACAGTTCTGCAGGTCTTTTTATTATGTAACTGTATGTGGTCAGTTTTGTCACCAATTTTTCCTTTTAAAATTCAGCAAGTCAGTTAACAACCATTTCTGTTATACCTGGAGCACACAATAATGTAGCAAAAACATCAAACAAAAACTGTTTACATGGCAATACACAAAATTTAAGAAACGAATGACAAAGTACTTGCAGCATCTCCATTTCCATTATTATTGTTACATCATTCCTCTTCATACCAACACTGATGTATGTGATAGGAAAAGGATGAAAGACCAGTTCACACCATAACATAACAAATAACAAGAATTAAAATTATTATTATTATTAAATAGAAATGTCCCTGTATTTAGCATTAACACTGCTCATTGTAGCAAATTATTATCTATTCACTTTAATATCAAATTTCAGTCCTGTCCTTCAGGCTTTCAAAATGAGTTTGATGTATAACTTTGGCTTTCTGGAATAATATTCAGATGCTGAAGGTTTTTAAACATCTCAGCAAACAATCTTGTTGCCACCTTCAGGGTGTTTATTGTAACTTCTCAGTGCCTGATCTACATAAGGGTTTCCAAATCCTCCCAAAAGACATTCATCCTGAAGATGATAACTACAATGTTTGCCAAAACACTGAAAACCTGCAATACTCAAAGCAGCTCATTCATGAAAGAACATATACATCAGATTTCTCTTTTGCTTCTTTAATTATAATGTAATCAGTAGCATATACTTACAATTGTCTCCAAAGAGGGAATTGTTTCATATCCAACAGCACTACTGAGAAGATAATTTGTGACATAAAGAGTAAGAAATGATGGCATCATATGAGTGAGGGCTTCGGCCATGTCCTCTGGGTTCATTCCTGAAAGTATGCAATTATGCAACTGAACATAAATTGTAATTTTAAATCTTTTCCATGAGATGCCCATGAAAATCCCTACAAACAATATTCAATTTAAATCTGTAGTTATTTATTGCATATTCAACCTCGTATTGTGATTCAAACTCATACATTAATCAGTTTCCTTCATTATCAATATGTGAAACCATGGTGCAGGTAACTAAACATTTTGTTTGTATTTCATTCACTTGTAAAGAATGTCACAATTGTCTATATCTAGTGTGACCTCAATACAAAAAATCATGTTCTTCATATGACAACTGAAGTAACTTCAAATTAGCAACACATATAGTCAGGCACTGAATTTATCATTATCAAATTAAGTGAGCATAATACATGTCTGGCATATTTCAACTATTATATAGAATTATGGACCACTCTTTACACCAAAATTGCACTAATTTGCATTTATAAAGGCAATACTTTGAAAGCACAGCTAGGTTGCACAGGCTTTTCATACAAAAGGGTGCAGGTAATGGATTGTGTTTTACTCTATTAATACCAAACAAAGCCTTACTCCAGTGCATATATTATGTGATGTAACAAGTCTTTGGCACTAAACTGAAGGCCCACAGCCTTTCAGTTGACAATTCCAGACTAATACAGAGCAATCTGCAGTTTGAGGGTGAAAACATTACAGCTACAATGAAAAATAAGAATACCACCTTCTGAAATTTATGCAGATCTGACTGCTCCTCAAGAAAGACACAAAGGCACTGTTGATGGTAAGACCACATTCTGAACTACGAAATTTGTTATTTGTTCTGACTGCAGCTTCAAAAACATTACTATCGAAAAAGAAAGAAAGCAAATCCTATGGCAAATTTATTTTTAGTATACAAAAAACAGATGATAGAGGAAAATCAAATTCTTCTGTAATGTGACTGGTTCTGACATTCTTCATACATTTTAAAGAAAAAAAGCCGTTGAATTCAGTGAAGTGTAGTTTCAATTCAGTACAGTTCATTTATTAATGAAGGCTAAATATATAATTTTCATTATTGCACGTTATTCTGCAGTTTCTTTTTCGCTGCAGCTTCAAGCATCAGTAACACTTCAAGATTTTTTCACTCATGTTTTTAGGTGAGCCATGTTTATCTTTTCAAGTTAATTAAGAAAATATAAAAACAATTTTTCTTTTTTAAGTGACAGGAATTCAGGTTATTTTAAATTACGGTTAGAACAAGAAGGGGGAAGTGTCTGCCTTTTGCTGCTCCTTCTTGCTTACATGTTGTTCATGTTTAGGGCATGAACATACTTGTTACATTTTTTCACAACTTACATGCTGACTTCCATTTGATTTCATTCAGTGAACCACAAGTGCTTTACTTGTGGAATTTTTTCTGCCTCCATCATCAGGGCAATCACCCTGATGATGGAGGCAGCAAGGACCTCTGAAACGTCAGTAAACTACTACCAGATTACATGGTGCAACAACCCAGAAGACAGCAATCTTTAATAAAAGAACTCTCTAACACAGAGCTTCCATCTAAAACCAGATTCCACTCAGCACACAGCCAGCAGTTCTGGTATACCACCTTGGGGGGGAGCTAACAGTAACAGCCAACCCAGCAAAGCTGAGAAGACAACTACGTAGGATTACATACTTCATGGGAGATATGTGGCTGCTAGTGGATTGAGGAGAATGATGCACAAAAGATCAGGAATGGTCACAGTGCAAGGATCCGTTGGGTGTCCACCTCATTCATTCATATATCTTTGTATTTTGAGAATACTGTGACTGTATTTATTTGGAAATTTAACCCCAATGTACATACCTGATATATACGAGCTGACTTCTTGAGCCAAGGTTTTGCAACATTGACCAAAGTAGGGATACATCAATTCATTATTGCACTCACTTGCCCTAACTGCTTCAGCTACAAGATTCAGTAGCCTCTGAAAACAGAGTGGGACAATTAATTTGCAAGACTATGTAATAGTGAAACTGTTGACTGTAAAAAAGTAAAAACACAGGCATGTACAGAAGTGTAGGCAGCTGGAACATGAGTTGGTTAGGTTTTCTTAAGCTGCAAACTTACATCTAATGGGGGATAAATCAATTCTAACTATGGACATATACAGCATGATTATGATATCACAGTACAGCCTCTATGCTGTTCAGACAACTTTGTACTAGGTGGAAGAAAATAGAAGTATTTTATTCACTAGAAGTACCTGTTTAGTATTTGTTAAGGATATTGTGCTGTTTCATCACTGTAAATACTAAACAGTTTAGATTAATTATAGAATTTTAAATGCAATATAATTATCAGAGTAGTACTATAAAACCAATAAATGTTTTATGCTGCACATAAATAAAAAGATGCCCCTGAAGATGACCTTGTAGATGTTGAAATATGTCAAATCAATAATAAATATAAACTTTAGATTGTAATTTGGTGGTTATTTTTGTATGAATTGTGGTTAAAAACACATTCTCATACATGTTACAAAAAATGAAACTTTTTCAGACACAACACAGTCGCACCTCATTACACGTGTGACCTACAAAGTATCATTTACAAACTTCAATAAAAATCATTTGGACCACTTTGTTTTATAATCTATAAAAAATTAGATTCATTCATACACACGAGTGGCATGTGTGTAGGATACAAGCACTCACATGTACAAAGAAAATCCACTGACCCATTGCAGAGACAGTGTGCAGACCCACATGACTATGTTTAGCATGGAATCAGATAAATCAGTCATCTGAGATGGGGCAAAGGGGGGGAGCTGCAATCACTTTGCCAAAGCAAATGACAGGCAATTATCTGGTGCAAAAAACGTTAATTATAGCCTCCTCAAAAATTGGGTGGAGTAAATATGCACTGGAGGCAATTGTGTGCATGTGTGTATGTACAGCACACTGTTCACACACATAAGTAGACCCAAACACGCACAGGAATCAATAGTCTGTGTTCTAAAGGTGACATTTGGACAACCAAACATGATAACTAAAACCTGACTGAGAATTCAGTGTTTATCTGACAGTAATTTGGCATCTACAGCAGACTAGTTCACGCTACGAGCCACACAGTCAACAGCCTTGAAAATGAGGAAAGAGATGGTCCTTGAAATGTCGGCAATTAATCACCATCTAACACGGCTGATAGCCCGAGAAGACTTTATTAATGAAAGCCGTCGTCAAGGCTTAACATTATGTTTTAGCTTCAGCAACCATACAAACAAAAAACACTGTTGAGCTTCCTCTCTGTCCCTTCCAAACAATACTGCTAAGTCTATGTTGTTCATACTTAATTATACTTACTGCAACAATATTCCTCTGGTTATAACAAATTTTATGGAAAAAGCAATTTGCATATAAATCTATTATATATCTGCAGTTGGCATTCAGATGTCCAATTTCGTGCACTGTGCTAGTTCCCCACAATACTGACACTATTAAAGGTCTGTATAATTGATTACGCAGTGCCTTTTGCAGTTGAAAACTTTGTTTTACAAGAAACACTGAAATATCAACTTCAAACAGTTTCACTATAATCTCTAAAACCCGGAAAAGGCGATTTAATTTCTCATTATCTTTCAGAGTATTAAAATTCTTGTCAGCCTCAGCTCGTTCATAAGCAGAACCTTCCGGGTATTCTTCGCAGTGAAGACCGTCGTCCACTATATTATTGGGAGTGCTATGAGTTACCAATGTATCTTCATGGACATCTGAACTGTTGAAACCTAAATCTTCATTTTGCAAATCTTTCAAGTTATAGATAGCATCTAGCACAATTCCATTCCTTGATATATGAGGAGTATCCTGCAAAGCAAATTAAATGATTTATTTATCACTTATAAATTCTGTACCACATAATATGTGCTTCATAAATATTTCACTTAAGAATAAGAATGTGAAATTATGTGCCCACAAAGAAAACAATGTGCTTTGTCAACCTACACACTGCTCCTTTTCTATCAGTGTAAATGTGGACTGATTATTTTGAGAATAAAACACTGAAACTACTATTTCAGGACAGTGAGATTTAAATGGAATGATTCACTCTGCAATGTCTTAAGCCGGCTACACACGTACAGGCATACCTTTCAGTTATGCCTGGAAAGTTCATTATAAACAGGCCTGAAAATTAAGGAATCAGAGATTTCACTTCTAAAAATATAAATGCAAAGTTTTTCACCCCTTCCCCCATTCGGCAAATGTATAAAAAAAAAGCCAGCTCAAGAGCCAGAGTAGCTCTGTCAGTATAGTGACAGATTTAGGACTGGATGACCAGGGTTAAATCCCTGATAGAGGCAGAGGATTTTTCCTCTAGCCCCTGCATCCATACTGGCTCCTATCTACTTGGTATCAGGGTCCTTTCCCTGGGATAAACAGCAGCTGGGGCACGACGTAGACCATTCACCCCTATCTCGTGCCAAGGTGAAGAATCAGTAGGAGCTATACCCCTTCTTCCCGCAAGTGCCTACATGGCAGAAAGTGGGACAGCTTTACTTTTACTTCACTTTATAAAAAAACCAGCTCACCTCTCCAAGCGTGTTTGTTAAAACTGTTCTGTAATATTTCAGCATATCTGGAGCACATGGCGGATGCAAATCAACTATCTTCTTGAATACTGATACAGCACTACCAAGCAAGTTGTCATCGTGCGTATTCTGTAAGAAGAAGAATCTCTACAATCAGTCAGTTCTGGACTGATAAAGTACTATTATAGATTCCCAAAACATAAAGAGACTTTTTGCTGACAAGCGATCAAGACTGTACGACGGTCACCTAGTATGATCAAGTTATCTGAGGGGAACCACTCAGAGGGAGAAACTTATATTTTGTGTTTTACCACAGTCACTTTTCAATGCTACATACTTGTTCCACATTCATTCAAAGGAACTGGTTCTCTCAGAATAGAAATTAACTTCCTGAACTTCAAAACAAGTAGAAAGGCCATTTTTCAGATCAATATCACCAGAAATAGTCAATTAAATTCAGATACAAACAGCAGGGTTAGTGGTTCACCTTCTGAAAGCCACAGTCATATACACACATCATCACTCCACATGTTGATGGCAAGGTAATGAGGACATCATCATGGCAAACAGCAACTACAACTGCAAACGTTCCTTGATGTTTCACATTAGATGATGTCACACAGGGCCTTCATAGTGGCTGCATAAGACTCTAGTGATCAATCACATTAACTAAAGCAGCAGCAGACCCTCAGCCACAGAACAAAACAGAAATATCTTGCCAGCATATTTCTGAACACAAAATTTGCTGTCCAGAAGAGTGTCCCAGAAAGTTTACTAGAATGTGTCATCACTCTAAACACAGTTCAGCCACTGAGCAAGTATGCTGGCAAAATATGTTGGTGTCAGAGCATGCACAAACTCTCCAATTGTAGCTTTCATTAAAGTTGGTAATTTACTGAACAACAACCCTCACGAATGCATGTGTGCATGTCCCCTACCCCTAACATGGGAGTAAAGCAGTAATTTGTCTACAGAATATCAAAATGTTACACTGTTGTAATGACCCGACATGAATAAGCAAAGGTGGTTAGAAAGTAATTCTTCTATCACTTAAGTCATGTCATGAAATGTAATTCACATTGTGGACTGCCAGTTGAAGTCAACCTTAATTCTTTTTCACTCTGGAACCACACTTTAGTCTTTACAGATCATGTCATTATTTACATGATATCCAGGTGGCCATGCATCACAACAACAACATGCAGCTAAACTGCTAGTCCCCACAGTTAGAGGCAGCCCCATAATCCACTCACTCACACCTATGCTTAGGTCTTCCCAGTGGCATCCTCCCTTCAGGCCTCCCAACCAAAACCTTCTAAACACCCCTCCCCATGGGTGTCACATGTCTCATCCTCCTGGATTTAATCACCCTAACATTATCAGGTGAGGAGTGCATGGCGCGAAACTCACCATCAAGCAATTTTCTCCATGATCCATCTCCTGCCCTTTTAGGTCCAAATATCTTCCTCAACATTCTGTTCTTAAAAACCCTCAATCTATGTTCCTCCCTCAAAATGAGAGACCAAGTTTCACATCCATACAGCACAACTGGCAAAATTACACTTTTCTTCTTCTTTTTCCGGTTTAACAATGTATGTACATTTTCCGGGTCCCCAACTTTTCAGTTGGCTTGATCTATGGACATTCGGTAGGACTCCTTGGATGAGGGATCGGCCCGTCGCAAGGCCTCTACCTGTACACAGGACAACACAGCACAGAAAAACATCCATGGCTTGAGTGGGATTCAAACCCATGGTCCCTGCGACCAAGCGGCACAAGACCCATGCCTCAGACCGCGCGGCCACTGCAGATCCCCAAATTACACTTTTGTATATTTTAATCTTTAGTTTTGTTAATGTGAGACACAAGGACAAAAGATTCTGAACTGAATAATAGCAAGTATTCCCTGATTTAAACTAATCTTGATTTCATCATGAGTGTCACTCTGGCTTGTTAGTGTCATCCCCAATTACTTGAATTTTGTCACATTTTTGAACGATGAATATTCTAATTAAGTTCTGAATTCTGATGCCAAGACATGATCATACTTTGTCGATTCTGCATTTATTTCTAGACCAACATCCCTACTAGCCCTTAAGAGTGTTCACTTTTATAATATTTATATTATCACACAACAGATTAATATCATCAGCATAGGCCAAAAGATGATGCGTCCCATTCAATTCCAAACTGCCCTGATTTTCTCGGACTTTCGTGACAGTGGATTCTAGGACAGAATTGAAAAGCAGTGGCAATAGATCATCTAAATGTTTCAGGACATCTGAATAGAAAATAAATCAGACAGATGTTTACCTACACAAATTTTGCTAGAGATATCACTAAACTGTTGATGTATTGTCCCCTTATACTCCAACTTTTTCTCTAGTATCTGGCGAAAGTAGAAAATTTCACCAGTTGTAGATCAATTATGACAGAACCCACACTGATGATCCCTAATAATTTCATTAGCATAAAGAGTCAGCATTGCCAGAAGAATGTTGGATAAAGTTTTGAGACAGATGATAAGTGAGATTCCTTGATAAATATTACAATCAATCTTATCAACCCTTTTATGAATTGGTACAATAACTGATTCCTTCCACTGCTGTGGCATTTCCTCCTTATTCCATATAGAGCAAATAAGTTTGAGTATCTCAAACACAACATTTTGCCTCCTGCTTTGATCAATTCAGCCAGAATCTGATCATTACCCGTGGATTCACACTTTCTAAACTTCTCAATAGCAGTCTCCACTTTGATAAGGAGGTTCTAACACTAGTGGTTCAGCCATATGTATATCTGCATAATATCATGAACAGTCCCTTTATTCCGGGTTTTAAAATCCCTACACCCATATACAAACAAAAACTGCACTTGTGACTAACCATGTTAAATAAATTATATTTTTGACTTTTCAATCAGTTTTACTCCTTGCATTTGTTTGCTCATCTTGCACTACTGAATTAATGTTTGATAATCTCCATAGAGTTTCCATTCCCCAACTACAGGTCAACTGTAAAAAGTTTCAAAGTTCCCTGCACCCACAAACAAACACAAGAAATCATACTATTTTAATGCCACACTAAGCGGACACACTGTTTGTTCCAAGGTTCACAGAAACACAAAGCAAGAATTCCTGCAGTTATTGAATTAAATGTCAACTGTCAGAAAGATAAATATGCTGTTTCAGTACTAAAGAACACAAAAAATGTAATTACAATTATTGTGGCAGTAATGACAAGAAAAAATTCTTACTCTAGGGCTAATTTTACCAATCAAGATGTTGAACTGCATATGTCAAGTATTTATTGTAAACTTTTCTCCACATGTGAATTCCTGTTACAAATTACATCTACTGTACCTTATACCTCAGTGACCCCTACAAACTTTAAAAGCAGAAGCCACTCAATGTTCAATCCTAATGTGTTATTTCATCTCTTGAACAAACTCTTTCAATGCCATTTTTACCAAAACGGAAATAGCAATATAAAAAGAAAAATATATCCATTATGCATGTAGATTACCATATTTTCAGACAATTTATTTATTACCTATTAAGACAGTTAATAAATACTGTGACAGTGTAAGTTCAAACATTTCACAATGAAAATAAAGTAAAATTACATCTTTACAACAAAACATGGGCAGATTAAATTCAGGAAATTCTTGCAACCATTTAATTCAAAAGGTCTCTATTTATGCATTCTATCTAAAATCATAAATTTTAAAATAAACTATAATTTTACCTGTTGTTTTAAAGTTCATTCACATTTAACAACACAACACACACATGACCCAACAATGACACAACAGAATAAATGTTCTTACCAATAAATGAAATGAACCAACATCCAACAAAATCTTAAAAAGTCCCAAGTCTGTAGGGGCACGTCTCTCACAAGTCTGTTGTGGCAGTATGAACAGTTGGCCCAATGCAGTACAAACAGTTGTCATTTGTTCCTTGCTGGAATTGGATTGATCTTGTTTATTTTATAATAATATGAATAATAAGCAGTTGATTGGACTTTTGAGTGCAAATCCACTACTGTATGACCTAAAATACCCGAGGTACTGTGACAAGTTGAAAGATAAAATTGGAGGGGAACTGAACCAACCACAAACAAATGCATTCCTTTATGTTGTTTGTATATTCATTAATAAAATTTTATAAATGTAGGTACAAACATTGTGCAAGCATTCACTTTTCAATATTCAATACAGCAAACTTGTCAACTGAAATTTTCTTGCCATTCAACTCTACTAATATAAGAAAAAAAATCATAAAGGAATCTCAAAATTCCAGGGCTTCTTTCTGTGCAGAACTCTGACCTGCAATGTTTTGGACAGTTGAGTTATTTTCCACATGCCAAATGTTACCATTTCTTAAATAATTGTTAGTATGCAAGTTGATATCATAGAATCAGTTTTCTTGGTTAAAGTTTAAATTCTATTTAAATTTCTAACTTTTCTTGTCAGAATGCTGAAGACGTCTTCTACATCTCTTTTCGCATGATTTAAATAAGCGAATATCTTCATTTCCCAACGTCTGCAATTTTGGGTACAGACTTAAAAAATGTCTTTAATGGAAATGCTCTGTCTCCAATTACAATGTGTGGTAAGCTTCCAGTAGAGTGGTGAAGTGGCTTTTGTTCAAGACCATTCAATCTCTTCCTTTCAAGTGCTTCCCCCATTCTCTAATTTTAAAATATTCTGCTGTCACTAATCTTTAAGAATTTATGCTGAGTACCTACTACAGCTAATAACATGATGGAAAACATCTTAACAAAGTACTGAAGCTGCTGTATGTAGGTGCTTCAATGACCACATGTTTACCAACTGAGCAGACTGTTAATTTTTGTCTGTGCAAGACAGTTTCACAAAGTGTAGTGTTTTCCTTCATCAGGTCTTCTTCTGTCAAAGATAACAATAAAACAACAACAGATTCTTCTAGCATTCTAAAATACTGATGAAACCTGACAATCTTTCACATGCTCTTAATACAAAGTAAAAAACTCCCTTTCTTTTCTTTGCAACAAACTGGCATGTATCCATTTCCTTTCCAATGACTTTTATTTTCTCTTCATCATTGGCAATAACACAAAGCTAGAAGAAGCAGATCAGGAAGGACCTGAAAGACGGCATCATGTGTCATCGTGTTGTTAAATGTGAAACAACCTTTGCAGGGAAATGAAACTTGTTCTTCTCCCAAAGAGAAAACCACAGTGAGAGGTTTGAGAATGAAGTGCTGAGATTAATATGTGGACCTAAGATAGGAAGTAATAAGAGGATGGAAAAAATTACACAATGGACAGCTTCATAATTTGTACTGAAAACAAACAAACAAATATTAAAATATATCCAGGGGGATAAAAAGGGTATCAAATATGCAACAGGTGATAAAAACTTACAAAACTGCAACTAAAAGCTCTAAAGGAAAGACATGATTTGGATGACCTAGACAGAGATTTAAGGGTACCCTTTGCTTCTCCTAATACAGTAAAACATAGTAAAGTCAGACACAGAATTTAACACAGCTCATGAGCTGAAAGCATCTACTATCAATGGTAGGTGGAGAAGGCAAAGCTAAGGTTAATGTTGCACTATGACCATTGCATTTGTGTTACAGAAACCTAAACTAAGGAATTAATTATGTCCATGGAGCACGGTCCTTCTACAGAAGTTTATAGCTGTTCAGAAATTTAAGAAATTCTCTGCTTTTTGTGAAATCCAAAGCATTATTACTGTGTTCAAAACAGCCTGTCACTGGTCACATCATGAGCCACATACATCTAATCCACACTCTCCCATGCTGCCTCCTTGACCCTATTGCTGCAAAGTTTTACTTTAGTAAAATGTCCATGTTAAATACTGCAAATTCAACTCGTCTACACCCAAGAATAATCTTCTTTCAGCTTTACTCTCTGAGCTGTAAAATCACATTCATGTTGATCTACATAATGCTGTCATCTAATTTAAACATTTTTAAGTTGCATGTAAATGTCATATGGTTGCTACATTGCTGAACATTTTGTATTTTGAATGCACATTTCATATTTGCTATGACTACCCAGTTTTCAAGCAGAAACAAGTTTGCAAAAAAAAAAGTGTTTTGGAAATACAACAATACAGGAAAGGCTACAATTTCTTTAAAAAAATACCCCATATTTATTTCAAGCAACACAAAGAACCAATGCATTTTGAAGGAAACAAATATGTACTTAATAGAGAAATATGGTTATAATTTAAATTCATTCTCTCATTTTGTGACTGGGACTTGTTTCTAACAGACCCAAATGAGTAGGAACTCCTTCCCCACCTTTCCACTTAAGGATAGGAATAGATTCGGTTTCTCAAACAATGCGTTCTTTTCAAAAAAGTAGGACGATGGACAAAGTCCAGAAATCAACTAATACTATAATACTTGCAATTTATCATTACCGAAAAAACTTTAGAACTTGGAAATTACTATAGAGAAGGGCAATTAACCCACCTGAAAAGAACAGACAGCAACATACTAAGAAAACACTCTGTTACAAACAAATGGGATATACAGACACAGGAACACCAATCAAAGGAAACATCATAACAGGTTTGAGCCTAATGTATGGAAGTGGTTTAAGTTGTGCAACTAAAAGCAAGTTTCTCCAAACATGGATAATACTCACAAGTATGAAGTCCAAGATACGCAAGGCTGCTGATGCACTAGGAAAATATCTCTCAGAAATATTAGAGTAACAATATTCGAAGACAGAGGGCCATTGTTTGGTATTCATCAGATCTTCTATCGTCTGACACCTAGCATCACATACTTCAAATCGCTTGTACTGTAACAAACATGGCATAGTCTGAACAAAATAGGGCCTGACACAGCTGCTCTTGTGGCAAGGTCTACCAAACCTTCAATCATTTTACGCAGAAAATTTTATATATATAAACTTTAGCTGCTGATTATCATCACCATTATTGTGATATACAAGTCTACTGCTAACAAAGATTATCAAGAAAGGAGAGCTACATTATCTTTCCACCATATTTTATTAAACATTTCAAGTGTATGAATAGACAAGTAGTTACACAATGATAGCATGTTTTAGACATGGCAAAGGCAAAGGCATAGACATTTCTAATTTATATTTCCCTTCTACCTTCTGCATGATCTGTGCTAAGCTAACACAGAATGAAATATCTACTGCTGAGATGAAGATCACTTTTCCTGTACTTCATTAAATATTCACCACATCAAAGTATGTGCCCATTTATTTTTATTTGTGGTTCATTCAATGATGCTGTCAAGAACTTAAACAATGGGAAGATCAATGAATTTGTATGGATAGGGAAGGAAACAGACATGGTCTAATTTAGTGAACCATCCTGGGATTTGCCTGGAGGGACTGGGAGAACAATGCAAAACGTCAGTCAGTATGGCCAGTCTGCAGGAATGCTAATCACTTGACCATAAAGCTTGGTTAAAATATGTTTCAATTGTAGATCTTAATGAGATGTGTTTTATATTATGAGGAAATTTCTTTACAATGGATAATTATGGAGAAAAATTTTTATAACCTGGGAAGAAAAAGTAATAAAGTTGTGATCAACCTCTCATATTTCCTTGTATAGTCATTTCTCCATTTTCGTGCTCTTTAATGATGCATTTTCAGTTTGAAGCAGTTGATAATATGTACCACATCTTCATTTATGGCCTTTCTATTCTAACTTTAACAAATTTATGTGGTCAGTAACACACAGCATTGCAGATGATGGTGTGATATTGATGTATGTTGATTGGAAATAATGTATCTTCATATTTTAATATAATATTCAATGTAACTATACAAATATTTTAACAGTAATAAATGCATATACAGTCCACAGAACAGGAGAAATGCCCTGCTAGGAATTTGATACACGTGCATGCGCAAGATTTTGCGGTGAGTGATGACCCATCCTAAAAACATTCTTTCCACCACTGAACGAACAACAGACAATAGGCTTTCATGTGTTCTAATGGGTACAACTTTAAGATTACCTCACAGTGGCACAGTGATTTAATCTAGAATATTATCACAACACCCGCAGAACACATTAAAAGTGCGCTCACTACACGCTACTCTTAACGGCTTGATGTTTTCAGTCTGTGTGTAGTAGCGTAAAACTCTGACGTATCACATTTCCCACCAATAGCAGCCCTCTAGTCGACTTGATGGTAAACATTCCCCCGGCACAGCCCCAGAAACGATTCCCCCGCAGGGCTTTTCTCCTGGTCTGTGGACAGTACCTGTTTATCATTTGGGAATCCAACCCTATTATGGAATATTGGCTCATCATTTTCAAGCATTTTTCAGAAAAACATCTACAACATAACTGGATAACGTACTATATTTGTTTTGCAAATGTGTCACAAATAACATAAACTCATTCACCCGGCGACGTGGTAGTTTAAATACCCCGCATATACTGCTGTCGTGCTGTTCCGGCGGTAGTATTTTTTAAATGCCCGTTTAAATTTTGCTGTAAAATACTCTTTTCTTCATAACTTTTGAACTATATGAGATATAATTATGAATTTTTCACTGAAATCCTCTTAAAAGATGGTTTTGTAATCTTACCTTACAAGATGAGCACCATGTGTGTGATCAATGGAAGAAAGTGGATTAGAATTTGAGTTTTGTATGGTAGTTCATAAAAACACTACACTACACCAATAAATAGATTCTATCCTTTTCCTGCGTTTCTGGCACTCCACACAATGTATCTGAAGCCTTCACTTGTTTACTTTTTCAGAAATACGAGCCACGAAATGTCCCCCCTCCACCTGACTATCAGTTGGCTCGGACCTGTAGCCCCTACTATATACATCATCATAAGAGTTATAACCGTCTCTTTCTAACAAGGCTTCTAATTATAGATTTCTGAGTATAGGGGTGAATAAATTTTGTTATTTCTGACATACCCATACATGACCATTCCACTTGTATTCCAAACTTGAGTAACATTTTGTCTGCTTCAGATATGACCTTTTTTCCTCTGTCTTTCGACTCTGTTCCCCTCTCTTTATTTCCAGGATTTATGGCTGTCATTTTAACCTTTTTGAGACCCTAAATTCCATTCACAACAAACACCACATGTATGAGTGGTAGCCTTGAAAACTTGTAGGTCAGGCATTTATACTTACAAATGGCCAGCACAGTTAAAATAAAATACACACACTGTTGCCACATCATCAGAAGGAGGATTCCTTTCACAGCAGACCAGTCCAAAGTTCATAAAGCAGTCGTTATTCATACCATACTTATGGGTTGTAGAAATTAGAGTTGAGTCTTGCGTATATGCACGTGGAACGGGAGGCAGTTAAGTTTAAATGCCCGCGTGTATACACGTAAAACTACGTCTGAGGGTTAAGAGATGTCACAATGATTGCTGAACATTATGAACAAAATTATAAAATATATTTTAAAATTCCAAATCATTTACAATGTACCACTCACCATAGCACTTTTGTGGCACTGTGCGCAGGAATATGGATCTAGGCAGCATGCAGGAACACATTCCAACCCCATACGTGTTCCTACGCTATCGTGATGCTTGTACATCACTGCTTCATACGACATGATAAATAGATCAGGGTTCACTTTTCTACTTCTACAACTGGCTGTAACAGTCCTCTCATGTAATGATTCCTCTTCATTGTAACCAGGAAGCATCAGCGTCCTGTCACATTTACTAGTAATAAGTAGTTCCTTGCCCAGTTCCCTTTCAGGATCGTCAACAGTAACACTTTTACTACCACATTCATTAAAACCCACAAGTTCTGCAACAGGCAAGTCAATGACCATCAGATCTCTATCAGATGCAACAAGCCCATCAGCATCTTCACGATTCTCACTGTTGCTTGACAGAGTGTTATCAACCACCAGTTCCATATCAGAGATGCTACTGTTCAGCAACCTCTTGTCTGAGCTAAAAGTAATATTTGAATTCTTTGCAGAGTAGACAACACCTGAGTCCCTCTTAGGGATGCAGTCAGTCACTGCTTTGATATTAATACATTCTGAATTTCCATTACAGTTATTTACAACCAATGATTTACTATAATCACAGCTCCTTAAATCTTCTTGCTTACTAGATCTCTTGATAGTTTCTGGTTCACTAGCAGGACTGCTAACAAACACTACATCATTGGCAGGGCAATTAATTTTTGGCTCATCACCATTACTAGCAGAAGCTGACTGTTCATTAGGTCTATCCAGTACTGCCACTCTTGTGAGAGTAAAATACATGTGCTCTTCAGCCGATGATTTTTTGTCAAAGACATTAGTCTTGAACCAATGAGGATTATTTGTGTGGTTTTGACTTACATCAATGACTGCAGATCCTGTATTTTCTACAAATTCAAAATCTTGTGAATTGCCAGAATCAAAATAAACTTTTTGACTTCTGACACAAAGCCTCTTTTCATTACAACTTTCAATATCACTTCCATCAGATTTTATAATAATACCTTCTTCATCATCAGATAGTGATGATAAATCTGTTATAACATGATTTTTACCATAAATTATGTATGACTGGAGAGTTCCTTCGCTCTTCAATTCTTCACCTTCTACATGATAACTGGATTCATTTAAAAAAATGTTATTTATACTACTTGCATCTGCTTCTTCAAAGCCTCTAAAGCCATCAGTAGAAAAAATAGTCTGCTCTGAATCAATGGATGTGCCATTTTCTCCACGCTCATCATCAATTATGTTTACATCTTGTTTACAACTATCATAGGAATGTTTTTCTCCAGCAACAGTAGTGTCAGCAGCATCACTTGAACCAGAATTTCTACCACTATTTCCAATGTTTTCATAAATCATAACTATATCTTCCTCACTTTTCTCAAGGAAAGTTTCGGATTTTGTAACATTTTCCTGAGGACATGAGGAACTGTGATCCTCGCACATTTCAACACAGTCATTTATAATAGGACATGGAGGAATGCGGCCATCAAATTCACAAGCATTTTCATTCACAGAAAAAAATGTTGAATTACTTACATCCAAATGCTCCATTTCTTTAATAAAATATTTATCAATCCTATTAGACTGTGGAGTACCAAATCTCCTTTTAAACATGGCTAAGAAATTAGCCCTTTTTTCGGCGTGTCAAAGGTGGAGACCGTAACACAAGCTGTGGAGAGTAATATGACCGTTTCCTTTTGGTTGATGCCTGTCTTTTGTGATCTGCACAGACTGACAAAATGTCTGTGGTACTGGTTACTGCTGATGGATAAATATGTTCTGAATATATTCCACGCTTCTGAATAGGAATTACACAATTCTTATTGATCATGTCAATATTCTCCTCCACTTGTTCACTGAACAATCAGTAGTTGCACAGACATTCTCATAATTACTCCTCTTCCTCCCATGCCACATTTAAATTCACATCTGAATTGGCAGTTTCGCTTGCAGTATCCGGGTATTTTATTTTAAGTGTTGTAGAATGGGAAGTTTGTACTTTACATTCGTCCTTTTCATTAATGATAGGATTTTCCAAAGAACTTCCTTTTCCATCAATCAAGCATGATTTCTTCATATGGGGATTTACATCAGCAACTTCGAATGAAAAATTCAAATCATGGAGGTCTTTAACATTTCTTTCAGAACTGAGATACGTAAATTTTTGCTTCACTGGATGAGAATTAACTCTGACTGTGGATTTATTTTGTCAGAGTTTCTTAATTCTGAAGATGAATTGTTAACTCTACTGAAGTTCCCAGCATTACTACTGAAGTTACTTTCCTGTGGCTGGTTGGGAAAATTTCCTAGCCAAACATCATCTGATCTTTGTTCTGATAAAGCACTTTAAAACTTAATGAGAGCGGATTCACTTTCATCATTGGTACGCAATACAGGAACACTGGCATTTGCAGTAAAATTATTCCTCAAAGCACTGGACACTGAACACTCAATTTGAGAGATAGTGTTCGTCTGGGTTTGTTCCAAATCTGTGCAATAAATTCTCAAGGCAGCCACATGGATTTCTCAAATGAAGACTGTGACTTCCCTTCATTATACCAAAGTGTGGACTCTGAAAATAGAAATGCATAAGAGATTTTAATCCAAGGTCTGGTATAGCCACTTTAACTGAACATGAACGCAATGCCAAAAGTGGAATCAATTACAGATTCTGTGAAATTAACTGAAAGAGAAACAGCTGGACTGTACATATCTTTTCTGACTAGCTATGCATACTCAAGACATTTATTGTTTTTGTTTCATTACATCACACATCTATGCTTAAGGCATATTAAGGGTCTGTGGAATATAATATAATACAAATAAATTCTATTCTATTCGTAAATGTATTTATTCATGCCTTCATTTTACTCACATAGTCTACAAAGGTATGAAATAATTATAGAGTAAGCGTTCTTGATACAGTATATAAAACGCTAACATACCTTACGATGAACATTTGTAAATAACCAGAAGTTTAACTGCCTTTCCCATCATGTTCTCATGTCAAATTAGCACTCGTAGTTCCTTCGATCCTTTCGGCCCAATTATTTTGGGTACGTACCTCTTAAATTCTTGGAGAAACATGAAAGCAATGTTTAAATCATAACTTCAACAAAATGTAACTTAACCATCATTTTTTGTAGATATGTACACTTCTAACCATTATTGAAGTCCAATTTCTTATCTAACTTGTCTATATTAAGAGCCTAATCGAAGGTTCTAGGAATAACAGTTCCATCGTAATAGTTTGACCACTAAAATACACAGAAAACGTCCATGTGAAACCTTGAAATCGATATTGACGCCGTACCAACCAACCAATCAAGTCGTGGTTATCAGCATCGGGCGCGGCAGCCGTGTTCGGCTGTTGATCGACGCTGTTCGTAGGTTCTCGCAAGATCACCATGAATACAGCACGTGCACCGGCTGCCTTTATGTTGATGTTCAACATTATTATTATTTAGTGTTCTGTCTGACGACAGGTCCATATGAACAGGATCCTTCCATCCTTTTCTCGGACTGGGACCTGTTCATATACGTTCTTGGCAGATGATCCAGAAGGGGTTTGCCATTGCCTTCTTCTGGGTGTGAATGGAGTAATTGTTGGGATGCCAATGAGGAAAACTCCGTGTTGCCTAGGCCACGGCCTTGCCCAACACAAGTTATAAATTCGGGCACCACCGGGAATCGAACCCGAGACCCCAGGATTACAAGGCCAGCGTTCTAACCGCTAGACCACCGTGGCAATTTCGCCACAGTACATGATTTATAATCATTTTCGTCATTTGAAAATATATAATCTACGTAATACATACAGTGTCGTTAAATGAACAAAGATATACAGACGGCCTTGGAGTGACTGAATTTAGATGCAGGACTTAAAAACGCTCTTATAACCAGCCATCGGTCTGCTGTTCTATCCCCGGGCTGAGATTTTAACATCTCCCTTCATCCATTACCAATGCAAGTGAAGAATCTAAGACTTTAATTTCTTTCGTCTGAAAATTTTAAATCACATACAAGAATAATTGTGCATAATTTGAGATTCTCACGGCAGTGAAGACCCCCCCCCAAACAATGGTTTTCGTGAGGCAACACGGAAATTGCCAGAGAGATGGCAACGGTGCATCGACCTCCAGGGAGAATATGTGGAACGGGCCGAAGTGTAACCTGGGAGCCACCACCATCAAGGGTCACATAATTCAGGTTAGTCTAAATCATTTGTATACGCCCCCCGTAGACAGGCAGTTATGAAATAAATTATTTAAAACCGTAAGGCATCATTATGAAGTTATAACCACGCTTTGCGCCATATTAATAGAATAGTGGGTGAGGGTTAATATTTGTGAGGCAAAGATATAAACAAAATATTATATAGATATTGCATAATATTATTATTTAAAGACAGCAGTACCGGTAGGTCTACAGCAACTTGTATAGTTAAATGCATTATAGAAATCGTTTATTTAATATTTACAGACAGTAGAACTGAGCTGTCAAAATACTGTAGTGTCCCGTTTTCTCGCTAGGACGCGCCAGGATGCATAAGAAATTAAGAATCACTGTGATCACTGTTTAGTGAGCACTTTATCACTGCAGTGATCGTGATTTTCTGATCAGTGACAAAATCACAGGTCACTGTTTATCGCTCATCACTATTCCTGTGTATGAAACGCACAGCTGGAAATGGTAAACAGTGCCTTAAAATGGAAACGGGAATTTTGCTAATGCTAACGGGGTTCTGTAGTGGCTGGAGCCTCGACCATTCAAACTAGGGTCTGTCGCTGCTGATGGGAAGTTATCCCGTCAGGCAACTTGTCCAGAGAATTTGGTTGGTTGGTTCTCTGAGGTTTGGACCCAGACGGTGGGGGGTTCGGCTGAAGGCCTCTGTGGCTTCCGGGGGTTGGAGATAACTTCAGCTGAGGGCCTCCGTGATCGGGGGAGGGGGGGTGGCGAGCCGTGCCCCTATTAAGTTATACCCTGGCATTCGCCTTACAACTGAGGAAAAGCACGGAAAACCTCAGTCAGGGTATCTATGAAACAGTTTAACACTGTTCAACTTGTTCATCACGTACAACTGGTGCTATAACACTTTCCAAAATAAAAGTTAATTACTTAATCACAATTTTATGTTTCATGTGTTGAAAGCCACGTGAACTCGATCATCACTCTGCTCTGTAAATTGGTCTGAAGGTAAATAAAATAGAAAGTGCTACTCAGATGCAAAGGGAGTTTTAGATCACAATATTAGTCCATATAAATTAGTGATATTTTAATTTGATAGTTTTTTATACAGTGTGATTACATAGTTCTTATATTTTTAATATGATCTACATTTAGAAAAAATACTACAAAGTACAGTGCTGCATCACACAGTTCTAGTGCAGTACACTGCTTAGCAACTGATCAGTACAGAATGTACCATAACTTAAATAAGCATTTCCAGAATAAACTAAACCTGCATGCAAAATATATTTCAAGTAGTTGAAAATTTTGTTACATGTCTGTAATAATTTATAATTTCAGACACCATATGAAATCATCTACCTGGAACAAACTGGGTTCTGAAAGTAACATGTCCTTGCAAGACACAGCAAATTCTTCATAATAGACAAAAGTCAGATGTTAGAACAGGGAACTATAATTAAGAAAACATATCAATGAGACACTTTCACTCCTTTCCAAATTCTGTGTCCAACACTGCTCAATATGAAATAGATAAAATAAAAGAACTGTATCTAAAAAATTTCTTCAGAGATAACTACAAACTTAATTAAAACAGTTGAAAAAAATAATCTATAATGAATCAAAGCCCTTCTCAAACTGCCTACAATTTGAGGAATTAAAACTGGAAAATACATTCAAAAATGTTCCACTAATAAAAATATGGGCATTCCTTTATTAGATAAGTAATGCATAGGTTAAACATAAAAGATCCCAGTTACAGAAGTGATGTAACTTTTCTTTTAGAAAACAAAGTAAACTGGTAATTACTTTTTTATTTAAAAAGAAACACTACTGTGATTACAACAATCTTTCCTCACTTCAGAGTTCTTGTATCAGTAGGCTATAATCTACTAATGAACCAGAACAGTTGATAGCAGTATAAAATACAAACTAAAGATAATAAAGAAGTGCTTGATACTAAAAAGTTCTGTTTCATATCATTACAAAATGCATATAGATGTCAAATATTCATACTTTGAGGTTTAAATATTTTAATTTTTTTTCTGACACAAAATTAATCAAGATAGAACATAATATACCTTCTCAAAATTTCTGAAGGCATTAACTTTATGAAGTTTACAAGGTATTTTTATTTAAGTGGTTAATAGATAATGCAGAAGACAGCCATATTCAAACTCACCAGTGTCAAAACATCAATCTCATGAAATTAGAACTAATCAAATGAAGGCAAAAATCAATGTACCATACCATTTCAAATTCAATGCAATGCTTACTCCATTTTAATCACCAACCTTGCCTTGGTAAACTATTCTCCATTACAAGCTACCAGCAGACACAATGATCACATAAGGAAGGGGTTTCCTCCTACAAACATTACAACAGGGTTTAAATTGATGATGTTCCCCATTGCATCAGTTATTTTGACGAGTCATGGCACCCAGAGTAAATACCAAAGGACAGAACAACACTGCTAACCATCTCTTCAGAAACACACTTTACTATTTCAAGACTCAAAAATGGGCATTAACATCTACAGGAATAAATATATTATTAAATCTCTACTATACTTGAAATGACTCAGAAACAGGAAGTCAATGACATATTAACAGACGACTGATGAGCGGAAGACAATTCCAAAACACAGTTGCGTACAAGGCCTACCAGCTTACCCATCTTTATTATATTCATAGAGAAGCATTATCAATTAAAGAAGGCAAAATACACTACTGAATGTGTTCATGCATGGAAGTCATACAGATGAAATTCATACATTTATGGTTAATAACGAACTGCTGAAAGTATACCAGCTGCTATTTTATATGCACTTGCAAAATATCAATTATATCTGCAAACAGTAGAGCCTCCACAAAGTGAAATTGAAGAGTCCTAAATTTTTCATATCACTTGTGGCTTTATGTAGACCACAGACATACTTTAAAGGGAACAATTATAATTTTGAGGTTTCACTGCAAATTTAAAAAAAAAAACATGCAGATAAAGTACACCTGACCTACTGAATACGAACTATAGATCAGGAGTTAGTTTTGGACATGCTCTGGTGATGTGGCGCTTCTGGTGGGAACAACTGATATAAGGCTCCCAAAGTTACACTACAACTTTGGTTAGGTCCTAGCTGGTAGATGAACCATGATATCCCACATACAAATGACACCAAAAGATAGTTTGCTTGAAGAGGACAAAGAGTCAAAGTAAACAGACAGAGGAAACCCCTTTTAAAGTGACAACATGAAGAAA